TCAGTTAACATAATTAAGATATTAAATATTTTATAATATAAAAATACATTAAATATTTTTAAATATTGAAGGTGCATTTGCATCTTTTCATATGCTTACTGGCCATTTGTATCTCTTTGGAGAAATGTCTTTTCGAGTCCTTTGACCGCTCTGAATTGTGCTGTTTGTTTTTGTTGTTGTTAAGTTGTAGGAGTTCTCTACAATTTTGAAAATTAATCCCTATGGCATATAATTTGCTAATGTTTTCTCCCATTCTGTGTACTGTCTTTTCATCTTCTCGATGGTATCCTTTGATGCACAGAAGTCTCTCATTTTAATGAAGTCCATTTTGTCTGTATTTCTAAGAGTTTTATAATTTTAGATATCAGTTCAGGTCTTTGATCCATTTTGTGATCATTTTTATTTTTATAATATTTCTAATTTACAGTAATTGAAAACAAATCAATGACTATGTCTCCAATGCTTCACTCTTTTAAAAACAAGTATCTAGGGGCGCCTGGGTGGGTCAGTGGGTTAAAGCCTCTGCCTTTGGCTCAGGTCATGATCCCAGGATCCTGGGATAGAGCCCCGTATCAGGCTCTCTGCTCAGCAGGGAGCCTGCTTCTTCCTCTCTCTCTGCCTGCCTCTCTGCCTACTTGTGATCTCTGTTCGTCAAATAAATAAATAAAATCTTTAAAAAAAATATTTGTTCAAAAAAAAAAAAAAAACAAGTATCTATCAAATTTGCATGTCACCATTCTATGTTGAGTTGTGGGAGTGGGGCCAGTTACACTTTCAGTATGTGTCTCCATATCAAAAGAAGCCACATTGAAGGAGAAACATCTGAACCTGATGTAAATCACAAGGAAGTACTTTAAGTCTGTTGCCATGTTTGAATGAGAATTTGGAGTCTTGAAAAGAGTCTAGTGTATTTTGTGTGTGGAAAGAACATAAATAATTAGGACCAGTGTGCAGACTATAGTAGATCAATTGCATTATTGCCCCGTATAGTAGGTACCCCACCGTCACAGTCTGCCCCATTATCATATTTTTCTCCCACTCTGATTTAGGACTCAGCCAGTTTACCTGCTTTGGCTAATGGGATATCAGCAAATGTGTCACAGAGAATATTCTGAAAGAAGATGCATGTGTCTGCTAATCTCTAGCATGACTGAGTTATACTCTTCTGTGTTTCTGCCATGCTATGAGAACATGTCAGTGCCAGCCTAATTAAATGAGATAAACTTGGAGGAAACCAAGTTCTCCCATCATCCAAAAAGAGGTCATCCAAGATGATCCAGTAGTTAGCTGGACATAATGAGGAAAGCCAGCTGAGATTAGAAGATACTTCTAATCAAATCCTGTCTAAGTAGTTGACCCATAGGAAACTAAAAACAAAACAAAACCCCCATTATTTGGGCAGGGGAAGTGTTACATAGCCCAGTTGATGCAGATAAATAACATTTCAATAAATAAGTTACATAGCATAATCTATCTAGTTGAAAGATAAACCTTCCATCCCATTTTTTATTTTTAGGTACTTGGCATTTCTTAGAAAATAAACTTAATAGGCTTGTGAGTCACTCTGATGCAGTGTGTGGACATGATAGATCTGAGCTCTTTTCACAAAGACCTTAGGTATCTAATCCATGATTATCATCTATCAAGATGTGGTGTCAATGTACATTGCTCTGTCTCACTGGGAATTCCATGGACAATCAATAAAGAGTTCTATTTCAGTGACCCTGATTTCTTGGCTTGGCCTGGGAGCTCATGATGTCAACATTCAAATCTCTGAATGCAAAGAGGAAGTGATTTTAATTATTCACTTCAGTTTTCCAATCATTTTCAGTGATGAGCTATCACCACCAACAAATCAGGGCATAATTCTATTTACTTTTGAAATGTGTTTGCTCCTCTTTAGGTTTGTCTAAGATAGCCCTGTGTTACACATTCACCTGAAACAAGACCCCTGAACTTCATTATCTTTATTCCATGGCAGACCTTTGAACACTTTGCACTGATATAGACATTACCAAGCATTAGTATACATACTAGTTAACATTTTACTAATATTCTCTGTAGTAGCCAATAAAATTTGTTTTAGAGGCTTGGCACAAACTTATATACACAAAAATTTGGCACATGGCAGTGGAAATTCCTGAGATGGCACATCTACACTGCTCTTTGCCCTAGTAAGAGACGGCCTTTGTAACTAGAAAAAAAGTTCAAAACTGAACTCTTGACTTTATCTTTGAGATATTTTTTGCCCAGACTTCTCAAACTCAGTAAATGGATCAAAAAATAGACCCAGGAACTAAGACCATAACTCTGGAAGTCATCTTGATTCCTCCTTTCCCCCAGATTTCCAATCTGTCAGCAAATCCTATCAATTCTGTGTGTAAAATATTTCTCAAAGACAAACTCTTCTAGCCGTTTCCTCTTCCCCGTTGTATTCCTGAACATTTGCTCTTTTTTCCTCTGCATTAATTTCTTGCCTTTTTATCCATTCTTCATATTTTAGTTAACATGTTATTTTTAAGAATTTTTTGAGATTAATTTCAGATTTGCAAAAACTTTTAAATATAATACCACTATTCATATATAATCAAATTTACCAGATGTTAATATTTTACCACACTTACTTTATCATGTCTATCAATATATCCATTCATCTATGTATACAATTTATTTTCTAAAAAAGCTGAGAATTCCAGTCCAAAATCAAACATTGCATTGGTTGTAATGTCACTTTAGTCTCCTTAAATGTGGAGTTTCTGTCTGTATCTCCATGAGCTCGATACTTTTGAAGAGTAAGGCCAGTTAGTTTGTAGTATATATTTAAGTATTATATAGTAAGATTTAGGTTCAGGGCATGCATTTTTGGCAGGAATACCACAGAAATGGTGGTTCTTATTGGTACATCAGATCAGGAGACACACAAGATCAGTTTGTCCCATTACTGGTGATGGTAGCTTTGATCATTTGGTTGAAGTGTTTTCCAGGTATCTTTACAGTAGAGGGACTGTTTTCCCCATGCCAATGCTAAGGTATAGTGATAAAAACAGGATCTCAAAGAGATATTTGCACATGTTCATTGCTCCATTACTTTTTTTTTTTAAGATTTTATTTATTCATTTAACAGAGAGAGACATATACAGTGAGAGAGAGAGCACAAGCATGGGGAGTGGGAGAAGGAGAAGCAGACTTTCTGCTGAGCAGGGAGCCCGATGTAGGGCTCGATCCCAGGACCCTGAGATCATGACCTGAGCTGAAGGTCAACAACTGAGCCACCCAGGTGCCCCTGCTCCATTACTTTTAATAGCCCAAAGGTAGAAGCAACCCAAATGTCCATTAATAGATAAAGGGATAAAGAAAACGTAATATAGACATACAATTAAATACTATACCACCAAAAAGGAAGGAAATCCTGTCACAAGCTATAATATGGTTGAACCTCAAAGACATTAGGCTAAGTGAAATAAGCCAGTCATGAAGGACAGATACTATATGACTCCCATCATAGGAATTAGCTAAAATAGCCAAAATTGTAGAAACAAAATGTAGAAAGAGGTTTGCCAAGGGCTGGGGAAAGGGAGAGAATAAATCAGTGTTTAGTGGTATATACAGTGTATATAATGGGTTCAATTGAAAGATGAAAAATTTCTAGAGATCTGTTGCACAACATTCATATGTATACTTAAAAATGGTTAAAATGATAAATTTAATGTTATTTTTTTTACCACAATAATAATAAGAAGAAGATGGCCAGAACATTATGGGAAAAAAAGTGTTTATCCTCAGTGGTAATCATTTGTTTACTCATTTATTCATTTATATCAAAATAGTTTCAGGGATCTTGCTTTATCTATAGATTATATTACTGTATTTAGTAATTGTCCCATATTTGACTAGTGTGAGCTAAGCCCCATCTAGCTGGTTCCTGAATACTTTTGATAAATCACCATTACTCTTTTTATTATTTTCTGGGTTCTGGGCTCATCTATCCTTTCTTTTCTGAAGCCCTGTCTCCTAGAAACCAAAATTTGAGTGCTTGGTTTTGTGGAGTATTATTGCTTCTAGGTCCTCTCAGTGGATAGAACTAGGAGATATATTATTCTGTTAGACCAGTTTATTTCAATCTTCTCTCATTTTTTTACCCATTAATTTGCTTTAGGAACACACATGGAACCCCAAATTTAGGTAATAAAAATAAGCTTATTGTATAAACGTCATATAAAAATTAAACATAACATTTACAAAACTAGTAGTATAAGTCTACAGTACATTATTGGAAACTCTTGGGACCACATGTACTTTGGTATTTAATTATTTTCAGATTTCATAAATGTAATACTTACATTATGTAATATACTCAGTAGGGTAAGGGCAATACCATGTAGCAAAATGTTAATGTTTTATAGCAAAGCATCACACCAAGTGGGATTAAGAAAGATAAACTTCATTTTTGTTCTGGTCAGATTCTACCATTAGATAGATTTGCTGTGAACTCTTGAAGAAATTGAAATCTTTGGATTTAGGAATTGCAGATAAGGGATTGTGAACCTATAATCATATGTTTTTCTACAAGAATTTAATGCAATATTTCTCCAAAATTTGTTTATCTAGTTTATTATATCTAGTCCATTTCTTTGTAGTAGCTGTTGTTTTTATTTCCAATTGGAAGTTCTAACTCACAATTGAGGTTATTGGGAATGATAGAACTATTTATTCATGTAATTATATCCTTCATTGTTATATACATCAATTAGTTCATAATCACTAATTACATGTTTTGCCCAGTCCACATGTGTGGCAAAACAATGCTCATGTTTACCACACCATTTCCTCTTCCTAAGTGCACAGGAAGACTATATTTCCCAGCATCCTCAGCAATTACCTTTGGAGAACATGACATTGCCAGATAATAGAGTATAGATGAAAATGAGGGGAGCCATTTTGAAGACAAGCTCTGAAAAACATCCCATGTGACACTTCAACTCTCATTTCCTTTCCCATAGAAATCCTGGATACCATGTGTTCCAGATCATTTGGCATATAGGATGGAGGAAGACTGACCTGTGCTGTGAGTGAATAGTGTTTTATTGTGTTAAGCCACTGTGATTTCACGGATATTTTTGTCATATCAGCACAGCTTACCAAATAATTCTTCCCCAAATAAAAATCCATCCTCTCCTGGCATGAGTTTTTAGCATAGAGCAAAAATTCATCAAGTCATTCTCTTTTAAGTATGACCATCATGTATATCACAAGTTGACTTATAGGTTATGTGTCAATGGTTTTGTCCTACTGCAAATTGAAATGTTAACCAGTAAGTTCAGATGATAGTAATTGCCTTTCAACATTACATACCAATGATATTGTGCAAAATCCAGTAGTGTCCCTTGCTTGATCAAGACATCTGATTAACAGCTTATTTAGCTTTCTTTTCTCACCTTGAGTTTCCATAACATGTCTCAGCTTCCCTGCTCCAGGATTTACTCCAGAGCACTGGGATCTTGTTTGGCCCAGTCACAACAAAAGCCCAGGAGTACAGGAGAGTTAATGCCCCCTGGAGCAATTCAGCTGCAGGATGGTGAGTCCATGGATGAAAATCTAAATCTCTTATCACTTTGAAGGGGAATTCTGAGGTGTATTCTTTTTTTTTTTTTTTTTTAAAGATTTTATTTATTTATTTGAGAGAGAGAATGAGAGAGAGAGAGCATGAGAAGGGGGAGGATCAGAGAGAGAAGCAGATTCCCTATGGACTTGGGAGCCTGATACAGGACTCGATGCTGGGACTCTGGGATCATGACCTGAGCTGAAGGCAGCCACTCAACCAACTGAGCCACCCAGGTGCCCCTCTGAGGTGTATTCTACACAGTTCCTTAGCATATCACCAGTAGAACAGAGTTCTACTTTCTAGAACAAGAGCCAGATCAATAACATACTCTATGTTGGCTTTCCTCCAGAACCTCTTCACCTCCTCAATCTTTCTGCTTTCACATTGTGGCTTCCTGGGATCATGCCCAAATTTATAAACTGTTTTAGGGAAACCAAACTAATTCAAAATTTCTATTGGAGTGCTGTCTTTTGTGAATTTGTTCTATAAAAGCAATCAACTTGATTCACAGTTGATTAGAAAGGAATTACATATTGTTTGAAAATGGTGCAAAAACAAACAATACATTAGTTACTGAGGTGGTAATTAGTAAACAGATTTCTGATTCAATAAAATCCACTTTAAAGATTGACACTTTCCTATTTTGGCTTCTTACATATATATAATATCTTCACCAAAAAAAAAAAAAATCATGTGTTCTAGGACACAGAGACTTCTATATTTGTAAAGGAGCTCTAATCAGCTCTCATTATTATTTTGAACTGAAGGGAAATCTTCAATCCATGCTGGGGATCTGAGCTCTCTAAAAGGGTTGCTGGTGGAGAGGAAGCAAGATTAGGCAAGGAGGTCATCCAACTGCAATGCAAACTTGAGGCTCTCAGCCAACCCACCAGGGAGCTCCAGAGTAAAGATTTCCCATTAGAGGAGTCCTAGGCCCTAGTACTGACACCATGCTCAGCCATGGCAAGAGGGTGGCTGCCCAGGAAAAGTGTTCCTCTGTTCAAAGGACATGGCAGATCCTGAAGGTGCTAATGACTGGCAGCTGGCTGTTAACCATTCTTTTTGGAGCTGAATGGTAAATTCTTCCCTGAAGGAAGATTCAAGCAGCACATCCCCATGGCTGCCACAGTTTTACAAATATAAACACCAGTATGAAAACGACATGGCAAATTACCTAAGATGAACTACAGTCTATTAACTGAATGTAAAGTGAGATGATCTAGTTGGAGTCCAAAATGGCAGAGGAGCAGGAGACCTTAATTTCGTCTGGCCCCAGGAATTCAGCTAGATAGCTATCAAATCATTCTGAACATCTGTGAACTCAATCAGAGATCTAAGAAAAGAATAGCTGCAATGCTACAAATAGAAAAGTGACCACTTTCTGCAAGGTAGGAGGTGCAGAGAAATGAATCCAAGGCAATATATGGGAAGATAGACCATGGGAGGATGGAGCCTCCATTAGCCAGCTACCAGCAAATGATAGGGCAACAGTGTACAAAATCAGAACTTTTAGAAGTCCATAGGTATACCACAGCAGCCTACAGGGTTTGGAGACTCAAAGCAGGGTTGTGTGCTTGAGACAGAAATGCTCAGTCACAGGCCAAATGAGCATGGAATACTGATGGAGACCAGGGAGGCAGGAGTGATTGACTGCTTTTCCCTAAGAGTGCATTGAGGAGTGGGGCCCCAAGTTTTTGGCTCTGGGGCCAGCAATGGGAGGACACCATTTTCATTCTCGTCCTCCATAGCTGTACGGAGAGCTTTCAGGGAACAAAAGCTACCTGGAGCAAACCTGATCAGATTACTTAGCCTGGCCCCTGGCAAGGGCAGTACAGTTCTGCCTCAGGCAAAGACACTTGAGAATCATTGCAATAGGCCTCTCCCCGAGAAGATCAGCAAGAACATCCAGCCAAGACCAAGTTCACCAATCAATGAGAACTGCAAAACTCCAGTGCTAGGGGCAAATAGCACATAGAATTCATGATTTTTTTCCCCAATGATTCTTTAGTCTTTCAAATTTAATTTTTTTCTCTTTCTTTTTTCAACCAATTTATTTTATCAACTCTTTTTAAAAAATCTTAATTTTCACTTTTACAGTTACATTCTATACTTTAATTGTATTTCATGAAGTTTAAGAGCATGCTACTAAAGAATGAATGGTTCAACCAGGAAATTTTAAAAGTTTTAAAAATTCATGGAAACAAAAATGAAAACATAAATGTTCAAAATCTTTGGGATGCAGCAAAAGTGGTCCTAAGAGGAAAGTATATAGCAATACAATCCTTCCTCAAGGAACAAGAAAGTTCTCAATTACACAACCTTAATTTACACCTAAAGGATCTGGAGAAAGAACAGCAAATAAAGCCTAAACCCAGCAAGAGAAGAGAATTAATAAAGATTAGAGCAGAAATCAAAGAACTAGAAACCAAAAGAACAGTAGAACTGAGCAGGGAAAGTAGGAACTGATTCTTTGAAAGAATTAATAAAATTGATAAAACCCTGGCTGGACATAGCAAAAAGAAAAGAGAAAGGACTTAAATAAATAAAAATCATGTTTGAAAGAGGAAAGATCACAACCAACACCAATGAAATACAAACAATATATAAGAACATAATATGAGCAACTCAATGCCAACAAATTAGGCCATCTGGAAGAAATGGATGCATTCCCAGAAACATATAAACTACCAAAACTGAAACAGGAAGAAATAGAAAACCTGAACAGATCCATAACCAGCAAGGAAATTGAAGCAGTAATCAAAAATCTCCCAACAAGAGCCCAAGGCCAGATGGCTTCCCAAGGGGAATTATACCCAACATTTAAAGAAGAATTAATGCCTATTCTTCTGAAGCTGTTTCAAAAAATAGAAATGCAAGGAAAACTTACAGACTCTTTCTATGAGGCCAGCATTATCTTGATCCCCAAATCAGACAAAGACCCCACTGAAAAGAATTACAGACCAATATCCCTGGTGAACATGGATGCAAAAATTCTCACCAAGATACTAGCCAATAGGATCCAACAGTACATTAAATGGATTATTCACCAAGACCAAGTGGGATTTATTCCTGGGATGCAAGGGTGGTTCAACACCTGCAAATCGGTGTGATACACTACTTTAATAAAAGAAAGGACAAGAACCATAGGATCCTCTCAATAGATGCAGAAAAACATTTGACAAAGTACAGCATCCTTTCTTGATTAAAACTCTTCACAGCGTAGGGATAGAGGGAGCATACCTCAATATCATAAAAGCCATCTATGAAAAGCTCACAATGAATATCCTTCTCAGTGGGGAAAAACTGAGAGCTTTATCCCTAAAGTCAGGAACATGGCAGAGATGTCCACTATGACCACTACTGTTCAACACAGTACTAGAAGTACTAGCCTCAGCAATCAGACCACCAAAAGAAATAAAAGGCATCCAAATCATCAAAGAGCTCAAACTCTCATTTTTAAAAAAAAAATTTTAAATTTTTCTAATTTTTTTAAATTCGCAAAATTCATTGTTTGTACACCACACCCAGTGCTCTATGCAATACGTGCTCTCCACAATACCCACCACCAAGCTCACCCCACCTTTCACCATGACCTCCAAAATTCTCTTTCTTTGCAGATGACATGAAACTCTGTGGAAAACCCAAAAGACTCCACCCCCAAATTGCTAGAACTACTACAGGAATTCAGCAAAGGGAGGATATAAAATTAATGCACAGAAATCAGATGCATTTCTATACACCAACAACAAGACAGAAGAAAGAGAAATTAAGGAGTCAATCCCATTTATAATTGTACCCAAAATTATAAAATACCTAGGAATAAGCCTAACCAAAGAGGCAAAGGATTATACTCAGAAAACTATAGAACACTCATGAAAGAAATTGAGGAAGACAAAAAAAAAAAAATGGAAGAACACTCCATGCTTGTGGATTGGAAGAACAAATTTTGTGAAAATGTCCAAGCTACCTAGAGCAATCTACACATTCAGTGAAATCCCTGTCAAAATACCATCAACTTTTTTCACTGAGCTGGAATAAATAATCCTAAAATGTATATGGAATCAGAAAAGATCCTGAATAGCAAGACAAATGTTGAAAAAGAAAACCAAAGTTGGTGGCATCACAATGCCAGACTTTAAGCTCTACTGCAAAGCTATAATCATCAAGACAATATGGTACTGGCACAAAAACAGAGACAAAGCAATGGAATAGAATAGAGATCCCAGAAATGAACCCTCAACTCTATGGTCAACTACTCTTTAATGAGGCACAAAAGAACATCCAAAGGAAAAAAGACAGTCTTGTCAACAAATGGTGTTGGGAAAATTGGCCAGCCACATGTAGAAGAATGACACTGGACCATTTCCTTACATCATACACAAAAATAGACTTAAAATGGATGAAAGACCTAAATGTGAGACAGGAATCCATCAATATCCTAGAGGAGAACACAGGCAGCAACCTCTTCAACCTCAGCTGCAGCAAATTCTTGCTAGACATATTTCCGAAGGCAAAGGAAACAAAGGCAAAAATGAACTATTGGGACTTTATCAAGATAAAAACCTTCTGCACAACAAAGGAAACAGTCAACAAAACTAAGAGGCAACCCACAGAATGGGAGAAGATACTTGCAAATGATATTTCAGATAAAGGACTGTTATCCAAGATCCATAAAGAACTTATTAAACTTAACACATAAACAAATAATCTAGTCAAGAAATGGGCAGAAGACATGAACAGACATTTCTCCAAAGATGACATACAAATGGCTGAGAGACACATGAAAAAAATGTTCAACATCACTAGTCCCCATCAAAATATTAAGTCAGAGGCAAGATCATTTTTCAGAGAGAATTGCAGAGATTAAGGCAATAATCGCCAATTTGTGAGATGCTGACTAATAATTTTTATCCCATTCAATTCCTTAAATATGGTCAGTGCAAAAACCAGTGCTAACTCCCAACTGCATTTTCCAACCTTCACAATGATCTCTTTCCTAGAAGAGATGAATCAAGTTCCTTGATTCCTTGATTCATCTCTAGTTCTTTATTTGTGCATCACTTATTATTGTTCCTGTTTACTTGGACTTCCCAGATCCTGCTTGATTTCAGTGAAAGGAGCAACAGTTTGTTAATTCTCCACCACTGTGTCACAATCTAGTCATCTGGAATCATGGCAACCTTTCCTGCTAGGACTTGAACCTCACCTATTATATTTACAACCTCAAGCTGTTAGGTCCTGAAACAGCAGGTGGCAACCCTCTATTTGTTTTGGGAAGGAATAAAAACACAAGATAAATCTTTAGGAAATCAAAGAACCTAAAGATTTATATTTTTATTCCTATACCCTCTGTTACGTTATCATGTCCTTGGCATTGGGGCTGGAGGGGGAGGGGTTCCAATGCCCCTAAGTGATTATTACCCCTAAGTGAAAGACACCTTGTTGCATATAGTGGTAACAGGGAGTCTTTTTAGATTTTGGAATCAGATTAACATAGCATCTGTGTATCCTTTGACTAACTAGTAACACAGAAATCTGCCCAGAGCAGAGTAGGAGAAGGTTTTCTAGCTGGTCTAGCCTACAAGAGTAGCCCTGTGAGTTGGTCTGATAACTGCATTTTAACCAACAGTATTCACCATGTATGCAGCAGACCCACTATGGTATGAGGAAACTCCTGAAAGTAGTGTTATTACAGGTAAGCTCAGGGGTTTGGATCTAATTCATGCAACCAACAGCAGGTAACTATTCTCTTTTTGAGTAACAGCTCCAGGCTTCTCATACAAAACAAGTATCTGATCATGGAACCAGGTAATTATGCAGCCCAGGCCATCCTTCATAAACAAGGTATCATCAGATCCATAACCAAGTCTACCTTAAGACCAAGTCTACCTTAAAACACTCCAGGAAAGAATATATAAAAGAACATATTGAGACATGCCATAAGGATCCAGCATTATTTAAATGGGTTGCTCACCTGAAACCCAGAGCATAGGTATGTTCTGTATTTATAGAATATGCTTAATAAAATCTTACTGAATAAAGAATGACCACATGAACCTGTTCCTAGCAACAGAAGATTCCTACTATATAGAAGGCAATCAAATATTTTCTGAAATAAATTTTACCCAACATTAAGCTTCATTAATAATATTTATTTTAAAGGTCCCTTTTTATTTGTAACAAATATAAAGTCATCAATGTTTTACAAATTGTCAAAAATGCTTTAAGTACAAAAAAAATACATTAGTAAAATGAAAGTTATATTGTATTATTCGCTACAGACTTAATACTGTCGACATGCACACCATATTTCGGAAAAGCTCATGCATTAGTGGAAAAGAGAAGAAATGAGATAGAACTGCTATGCTGGCTGATTACAAATTCATTGCTTCAGTCAGTTTCCTTTCTTCAGGGATACCATTTACCTGGAGGGTGGAAGAACGAACATGTGCATGAGTTAGACAGGGTGCAGACACTTTTAGATTTTGAGCGAAACAAAATATGACAAGGAGTAATTTTCTATCTTCTTAATGCAATTTAAAGGAATTATGTTGACATTCTTTCTCTGTATTAAAAAAGAAAGAAAGGAAGAAAGAAAAGAAAGAAAGAAAGGAAGAAAGATTCTAAATCAGTCCTTTCCTTCTTAGGCCAAAGCCGTTAATGGTTTGTACCTCTCAGAAGGTATGGTCTGAAAATTCCTCCCACAGTAAACAAAAAGAATGGGGTTGACTGCAGGACGTAGGACTGTACCTTTTAATCGTGGCTTTTTAGAAAATATCGTGTGGGCTGGAAGGGCAAAGAAAATGAGAAAACCTGAAGGGGCATCAAACCTAATGGCTTGGGCCTCGTCCAAAAGGCAGTGCTATTGTTGGCCTGTAACTGCTCTATTATCCCAGCGAGAGTTTAAGTCCAGGATTACAACACCAACAGCTAGTTTATTTCTTAAACTTTTGGTGATCATTAGAAAGAAAGAAAGAAAGAAAGAAAGAAAGAAAGAAAGAAAGAAAGAAAGAAAGAGAAAGGAAAGAAAAAATTAACTAAATAAAACAAACTTCAAAATATACTCTTCCTGCAAATTCCATATGAGTAGCTACAAATAAAATTACTTGGTATCCAAGAGACAAACCCTGTGTTTAAATTGTCTTCATAAAGAAAACTGTGACCTCACATGGTGCTTTGAGGTAGTTGGAAAGAGCAAATTATGATTTCAAATGTGGGTGCCTCTTTGTGGTACTGGGATGACCAGGAAAAGCTGTTGTACCCAGGAAAATACATAAAGAGCACTAAGTCCGTGGATGTGCATACAGAGCAGAATAACTTGGACACTGAAAAACAAATTATTTTTTCATTCAAACAAACAGAATGGGAATAAGGAATGTAACCTGCCCATTCAGCTCTTCTCTCTGGGAAGCAAAACTCTACTTGGTTGTACGTTTATCAGAGACAGAAACACAACAATCTATCATAATTACAAAAAAATGCTAGGGTGGTCTCTCTCCCTTTAGCCCTTAGATACTTTGGAGACTCATCGAAAACAACAATGACAAGAAGAAAACAACCAAGAAGAGATAGTGCACTTTAGTCCATAATGTGGTCCAAATTACAGAAAAATATAAGAAAACAAGGAGGTAATAGGCTATCGCATTAACTAAAAAGGAGATCAAAGCTTCCTTGACTCAAAAAAACTCCTGCTCCCCAAAATCTGTTTCAGAAAAATAATCTAAAAAATTGGGTGGAACAACCTAAAAATCCCCCAGGGAAATTCTTTGGCTCTTACCCCATTTGCTCAAGCATAAACTGTCCTTGTAGTTATAAATACTGCCTATTACTAAAAACTAGCACATTAACAAGTCTACTTGCTGAAAATCTATACCGCTATCAAATATGTCTCTCTAATATCATCTACTCAGGCTCCCTTATTTCCTCTAAGGGACAATAAGTAAAATCTGGATTTTTTAAACACACAAATAAATTATTTACTGTTTTACTAGAAACTGTCTCCCTTCTACTCACGCGTTGCATGAAATAATTAAGAATCAGAGGAAAGGCATCTTAGAAGAGTTAGAAGTTTATGAATTTAATGAAGGAAATGTAGAAATATTCCTTTAAATGTTTTCTTCTTAAAAAAAAACGGGCAATTAGTGCTAATAGGGATTTGTTTTTTGTCTTTGCTCTTTAGGTAACAGATATTTTATAACTAAGTTTGTTCCTTCATCAATCTCCTGAATGCTTACACAGTAGCACCACGACATCAATATATTGAACACCCTTGTTGAAACATGTTAGCATTTAATTAAAACAAGTGATCAAAACTGTAGGGGAAAATTCTGATAAACATTATCTCGTAATTAAAATCTGAAGAACAATTTTATTATACTTGCCTCAAATCTTTGAAAAGTTGTCAAACGAAAATCTCCTTAAATTCCCGAAAGCAGTAATAGAGAAAATAATTTTTGAATGAAAACATCCAATAAATTTCTATATGTGCCTAAAGTTTTTAAGAGACTTACTTAATAGCTTCCCTACTACAATACCACTATTCACACTCAGAATTCCACATCCAACTTACATTTTTAAAACTTCTCTTGCTTTTCCAAGAGAGCCACAAAAGGCATTACTGGTTGCCTGGCAATTAGAACTAGGAATCAACCACTAATTAGAAGACAATCATGAATAAGTTATCTACTTGGTACCTAGATGAATGAAATAATTGGCTGTGGAAATTTTTTAGGGACACTTGAAAGAAATAAACTTAAAGAAAGCAAGTCTTAGGGAAATAGAATAGTCAAGGAAGAATCGTCCGCCATCTTGTTGTCACCGGTCATGTTATAACAGCTTTTTAAAGTGGCATTAAAACCAGGCCAACCATTTCTCATTTATCCCCCTGAAGCCTCAGTGATTAGTCACAATGGTTTCCTTTTGTAAGAGTCAGTTTCAAGCTGCTCACTTACTGAGACAAATCCTGGATGCATCCAAGCTAAGAATCTTTCATACCAAGGGGAAGAATAGGGAGCTTCGCTGAAGGAAGGGAATTTTCCTCAGTCTTCCTTAATTAGACAGGACCTCCATGGATGCTTTTGCTCTAAGATCATTTACCCTGTGTTTATCACTCTGATGCCAATCTATGCAATAATCTAAGTTATTATTCTGAGGTTCTAACTCTGATTAAGGAATGACACAACTGTTTTGCCTTAGTCAATGCAGCTAAAGGTTCATAAATTATGTGGTACTATAATAGTCTCTTAATCTGTTAGCTTCATACATTAATATCAACTTACTACTTTCAGTACTTACCTGTAGTCTGCTGTTGGGGAATCTGAGTCTGATGTGGCAAGTTCCTAGAAATGATTGACATTTTTGAGTAAAACGGTGTTTGTTTATACACATACAAACAGACAGCAGCAGACCTACTAGAATGAAAAATTTTATACCTAAGAAGATCCCAGAAATCATCTAACCCAGCCTACCACCATGAGTTCATGCATGAGAAATCTAAGGTCTGAGGAAGATAAATAATAATATTTGATAACATTCAGAAAGTTCCTACTGAACACTATGCTCTACCTCATAACAACCCTATGAGGTAGGTATTATTTTTCCCAACTTACAAATAGGCTTAGAGGTCCAAGGCTCATAGTTAAGAAGTGGCAGATTAAGATGTGAACCCAGGGACCCCAGGGCTTGCACTTAGAACATGTACACTTTCAGATCCAGGTCTAGAACATATAAACACACTCACACCCTCTCCCCGAACACATACATACCCATCTTCATTCATTATGCCAAAACTATGCTCTTCTATCCCTGCCCAGGCAATGACACTGGCCATCCACCCAACTGTACTAGTGAAGATGCAGAAGTCATCATCGACCCTCCCCTCCTTCCCTTCCTACATCCCAATCTTGGGAACTCTGGACGATGCTCCTCAGTCTCTCTTTGTATCTGTCCTCTTCTTCCCACCCGTGTTAGTTGAAGCCATCACCCTTTCTTACTTGGAACTTTACAACTGAACTGAATTTTTTCCTTAGTTCCATTCTTCTCCCTTATGATCAGCTGTGCACATTGTTCTCAGATAATCTTCTAAGACACAACTCCGATTACGTCATTCAAACAACACACATTTCATTACTTCCTTATGCAAATTAAGTCTGGCTCAAAAGACCATCAGTATATCGGGTCCCTACATGGAGCTCCCCCAACCCTGTCTGCCTGAAATAGAACCACTGGCATCATGGCCATGACTATCTCTTGTACCCAACTGCTCCCATTTGTGCTTGCAAACTCAGCTTAAAGTTTGTTACAATGAACACGAGTTACTCTTGTAACTTAAAACTATCCCACAAGGAATGTTAATAAAAAAATTTTAACTTATTATTTGTTTTAATTAAAAAATATCTCAAGTACCACTTGTTCTAGCCTCCTCACCCTCAAAGCACTGCCTCCCTACTAGGTTACCATATAGTGTGGTTTCATACACATGCAGATAGTTGTTGTATTTCTCATCACATCATGTTTCTTGGCCCCAAAGTGCCTTACCAGTAAGAACCCCTATTTTGTTCAGTCTCCCCAACAGTAAGCATGCAATAAATAGATTTTGAATGAACATATGCACAACTGCAGATAGTTAGAAAGATTCACATAAAATACATACATTTATTAATGTTCATATTCATTTAGTTTCAAATTTTAATATTAAAATTCATTTGCAAAAAAGTACAGTTTAGATTCTGTACTAGGAGTCATCCCCTTGCTACAGAGTAGGGCTAGATCCAAGCCAGGAGTTTTCAGTTTTTTTGTTTCTCTTCAGCAGTGGAATTCCTTTTAATTGAAATCCTAAGCAGAACTCTTGATGTACAAAAGAGATAAATGTGAGGTTGCCTGGGTTGAAACAAGGGAGCCGGAATCCCGCCTGCTTTGTTTCTTTTGCCCCACATGCTGGCCCCTAAGGCATTTCTAAGAAACCTCCAAGAAACAGAGTTTGAAAACCACTGATCTGAATCATTTCAGCCAGGCAAATATTAGGTTCAAAATACAACAATCTAAAGTAGAAGGCTATATATGCTAAATACTATTTAAACTCTTAAATTAATCTATGGGAATGTTAATGACTCTGAGTAATTTTTTTAGACTTTTAGCTCTATTTTAAATATATTATTAAGGAAATAGCAAAATCAATTCTAATTCAATTCAAGGAAGTTACTTAATAATTCACCCCAATAATTACATTCTTGTTTGCTATTACCTATCAACCCTACTTATCCTTGTGTGAAATTATGGAGTGTTTTATTTTCCTGTTTATTCTTTCAGTACTTCACACGATGTATTTATACTGGTTTTGATTATGGAAGTAAAAAGATTAATTTATAAACCACAGAAGAAATAAGTTCTAGATTTAAAGATGGGAAAACAAACATCTTTAATACAGAAGTCAAAAAGCAGTTTCATGGGCATTTGGGAGGGGGGTTTTTGTTTTAACTTCTCAGGTGCAACTAATGTGGGCCTATCTATTCTATATTAAGAGGCTATTAAAGCACATACCACACAGACACACACAGACACAGACACACACACACATTCACTTGCCATCACCTCTAGCTCTACCTAGCTGATTAATGGGTTAAATCGATACATTTTGACAAAACAAAAATACTGAAGATGACAAGGAAAGCCTTTCAAAAGCCCCAAATCAAGGACACACCAAATTCAAAATCAATATTTGGCCAGTAGTTGGAAGCCCCCTCACTCCTGATGGCCAGCCCAACTTACTCTTCTGTGGAACACAGTTTGAAAACCACTGATCAAAGTCAATTTCCACCCTGTCATTTCTTCTCTAGCCCCTGATTTTTTTCTCTCCACTACACCACTATACTGTATAAGCAGGAATGGGCTTGGCAAGGTTTGAGGAGAAAGTGTTGGTTGAGAAAGTGCCACACAGAAGGTAGCAAGAAATCTGGAGATCTGTGAGAAAGCAATGGTATGACTTGGGTTTAGGAATTTAAAATTACCTGCAGTGCATGTCCCACCTGTTTATTTCAATGATGTTCGTGCACTATTTGCAACTTCAACTGCAATATGGATGAGTTCTATGAAAGTGCTTCTATGTATTCAGTATGTGCAAGTCAGTATGACTTTAATCTTTTGGGAGCCTAAGAGGGTCTTTTGTTTTTCTTATCTTTTGGGGGGCTCGACAAGAAATGTGTGGAGTAGCAACATCCCTAGCATCTCCAGGGTGGGCAGACTTGGTTCTGTTTTCAGAACCAAGTGCAGGTGAGCCCGTGCATGTGAGAGGGTTCAAATGTCCATGATAGGCATACTTGAAGTGTGAATTCCACTGATAAATTGAAGGGAGGTACCTCATGAGAGCACTGCTTCTGAGATACTAGAGACTCCCGATTCCTAGGAATGACCCTGTTGCAGTCAAGCAGACTGGACAGTAAGAAGCATTTCCACCTTCAATGAAAACACACCGCTGAAGGCAATTACACAGGAGAGTGGGGCTGACTTCAAATGGAGGTACACTAATCCTTCAACGAAAGGACCTCTATAAAGTCATACAACTATTTAGAATGATTACGTTATTAATGGACTAATGGAAAGATTATTATGTGTAAACCACATTACATAGAAAAAGAGATTTAAGAAAACCGGAGTTCTCTAAATTATTAGCATTAATTATTTTCTAATTGTACTACCATTAATTACATGCATTTAAATAGACAATTATGTAAATTAGCCATTGCACAAACTTATTTTTTAAGGAAGCAAAGGTAATAATGTACAAATTAATAAATAAGTGATTTGGGGGGAGGACACAATTATTTATTATTTGTACAACCATTTTACGGTAATTTGACATTCTTGGATCTCCTGTAGAGTAATTCTATGAGTTAGGTGGATGATTATCAACACATTAGATTCTAACTTGCTGGAAGACTCAAAAGCAGAGAAAGGTTAAGTGATTTGCATTAAACCACAGAATCTGTGCCAGAGTTGAAAATAAATGACATTAGTTTGGCTATGCATAATACAAAACACTTCTCTTTTGAATTAGTGTGGAGTCACTTAACAATAAGGAATATATTTAACAAGAGTAGTATATTTTTGGAATTTACCAATTATTTCAGCACAATTGATGTTGTCTAACCCTTGAATTTTCTATAATTTTTTTTTCTAACAAAATGCCAATTTGAACCCCTTACCTACTTTTAGTAAAAAACCATCCATTATTTGGATTAAGGAAGGAAGGACACAGAGAAATTGGAAAATGTCACTATAATTTTTAATTTCAAAACCTAATTTTCACTGAAATCAGTGTAGAGCATACACAGAACATAAATGAGAAAGGAGATATTCACTTATTTCTTTCAGCTATTTTCTCTTGCTTGTATAAAGCCCAAAGCAAGTCTACCATGGCTTAAAACTGAAGCTGTACAAACCTATAGAACCAAAAGCCATCAAAGAGATACTGCATCCATTGCTGAATTAAATGAAAAAAAAAAAAAAAAAAAGGTCAATGGCTCTGAAATATCCTTGGCTGCTTGACACTTCTTGTCAACAGAAAACCATTATCTTGGTCCCCTCCCCAAAAACATTCTCTTTAACTGATACTTTCATTGAAACCTAATTTTTTATTTATGAAATTTTATCATAGTTTTCATTATTACAAGGGGAAGACAAATGGAAAAATACTTTAGACAACAGCTAAAATGATTTGTTACTATATCTTTAATTAGAAGGTTTGATTCTAGTTTTACATTCGTTAATTTATAAAAGATTAAGCACAACCTACCTCCTGTTTTGAGGGAGACCCAATTACTCTGGATTAGGTATCATGTTTAGAACAATGAATAAGGAAAATTTTCATATAGACAATTAAAATCATTCTAGAAAATGTTTGGGCACTTTTCCCTATTATTCATTGCAAAAAATCTTCTATGAAGATGCCTCCCACTAAGGAAAAAGGATGTTGGTATGAGAAAAGAGTGACAAGAAGGTAGATCTACTCCCTAAAAAAACACATAATACATCACGAATTTTAGAATAAATTCTTTTTTAGAAAATTGAAAATCTGAAATCCTCCAGCCAATGCCTCCCGTAAAAGAGCAAAATTACAATTTACCAATGGTTTTTCCTTTTTTGAGGCTTGGCATTCAGTAATAGTCAGTACTCATCTCTCACTTCTCTAACACCATTTTCCTCATTCAGCTGAAGGAAGAGCGAAAAGTCTTGACACCGGTAAGTAAACCCACAAATAGTCCCCACAGTCTAGGTCACGCACCCAGACCACCCCCTTTCACTCTTTTCTTCTGTACATACCTCTTAGGGAGGAATCCAGAGACACTGTTCCCATCTTAAAACTCCAGGTAGAGAAGTGTGAATAACCATCCCTTCCCCACCTCCAACCCCCAAGAAACCACCACACTGGCTTTCCCAAATCCTCAAACCCAGCTCCTTCAAGTATTTTGTTCAGGAATTCTCAACACTTTTTCCTGCTCCACCTGACTCACACGTCCACCAAATTCCAAACCCACAGAATTAGGGCCCTGGGATCTGCATCATAAGGGCTCTGAGAGTGAGTGTGCTCTGCAACTTGGTTTGGAAACAACCAGGCTAGATCTCTCTCAACCTACCTTTTAGGACCTAGAATTCTATGACTTGAAATTTGATTTTCTTCATTTAAATCATTACAAAGGTTTGTTTCCAAGGTACATCAGTCAATCTGTAAGAATATATTTTAAGTTAAATCTTTGGCATAAAACATAACCCTTAATCACAACAGTGATTCTTTGGGCAAAGCAAATTTATTTTTAAGAATTTATGGGGCGCCTGGGTGGTTCAGTTGATTAAGCGTCCAACTCTTGATTTCCACTCAGGTCACTCTCTCAGGGTCGGGAGATGGAGCCCTGCTGGGCATGGAGCCTGCTTAAGATTCTCTCATTCCCTCTTCCTCTGCCTCTGCCCACCCTGCTCATGCACTCTCTCTCTCCTCTCTCTCAAAAAAATAAAAAATAAATTAAGAAAAAAGAATTATTTTATAATGTAATCTCTAGCAATGAATGGTAATAAGGGGACAGCCTATAGAGAAAAGTTCTTACTGTTAATGGTAATATATCCTCACTGAATTGCAAAGATAACTGATTAAGTAAAGATACAAAATGCCTGGCTGTGTTAGGAGATGGGGAACATTCTACAGAATATGTGGCTAGTGCTCTTCAAGGCTGTCAAGGTCATGGGGAAATAAGAACATCTAAAAACTGCCCAGGCAAGAGGAAGGTAAGGAGATACACCAATTATTGTGTCTTCTACAAAAATCCTGGAACAGAAGAAGGACATATAGGGGAAAACTAGTGAAATCTCATAGGGGACCTAGGTGGTGCAATCAGTTAAGCCTCCGACTCTTAGTTTTGGCTCAGGTCATGATCTCAGGGTTCTGGGATCGAGCCCCGAGTCAGGCTCCACACTCACTCAGCATGGAGTCTGCTTGATAGTCTCTCTCTCTGTCCTCCTCTGCCCCTCCCACTCATGCTATCTCTCTCTCTCTCAAATAAATAAATAAAATCTAAAATAAAATAAAATAGAAACTAGTGAAATCTCAAATTATTAAAAACAAAAATCTGAAGTTTGCTTAATAGTAAAGCACCAATGTTGGTTTCTTAGTTGTGACAAAGGTGCAATGGGAGAAAAGTGTGTGAGGGAATCTCTGGAAACTCTGTGTTATCTTTGCAACTTCTTGGAACTTCGAAAATCATTCCAAAATAAAAGTTATTAATAAATACATTAGTAAAGATCAAACAAAATTGACCTTACATTTTTATACTATGATAATTTTAAGAGCCTGTTTATATTGTCTCTGCAATCTGGAATGTAGAGGGAATTCTGTACAAAATGAAGTTGTCCCTTCCGAGCATGTGCTCCATCTCCTGGTCCCTCTCCAGGTTCCCTTCCCACAGCCTATTCAATCCACTGCCTGTAACCTGGATCAGAGATCCTTCTGAGTTCAATAACTACATTATCTTTGACTTAATAGCAAGATAGGCAAACAATCTAATCTCAGTTTTGACCTAATTTAGCTTTGTCTCTTATCCATGCCTCGATTTTATCATCTGCAAATGATTAAATATTATTTTACTGTCTAAGTTATGGTGCCAGTCTAAGTCCTGGAAAGTATCGTTCCAAGAAGAAAATGTTACTATGTAACTGACAAATTAGGGTCACAGCCCCCCAACATACAACTTACGAGTTCCCTTTACCTCCCACTTTTCTAAGGTTCTCTAGACCTCCTAGACTGACTTGTTTAAAAGACCCGAGCAAATTTCCACGTAGCTCTGAAGGAAAGCTTTGAATGTCCTTGAGTCTTGCTTGGAAGCCAATGTCCTTATGCCTGAATATTTCTGGTGTTGAGTCTGAAGAATAAACATGAAATCCTGTAGCAATCCTGTAGCTAGCCAAATCATTTATGAATCAGTAAGGTTAGCATGAATATGGGAAGATGAAATGTATGCCCTTTTGGGAAGGGTTAATTAACAAATACCAGGCAGCATTCTCCAAGCACGTACTTGGTTATCAAGTACTCTAATGCCTTGTCAAATAGAATATCTCATTTTAATGTGGAGGATTCAATTCAACCCAAATGACTCAAATGTGTATGTATGTATGTGTATACTTGGTGCTGAAATACAACTTTAAAAACAGGGCCATGGTTTTAAGGTAAGGAGTAAAAGCTGAATTTGCGTAAAGGACAGCTGTGACAAACCTGATACAATGAATTTCCCTATTATCTGACATGGTTGGAAAATGAGGTTAATCACATATTCTGGCTTATAGGGAGTTACCATAGAGACAGTGCACATATTATCCATTTCCAAGAATAAAAGAAAGATAATATACACTCAACACTGAAACTACACCGAATGTAATTTAATTTCCCTCTGATGAGTCAGACGTACTTGATGATCTCGCAGTGCCTCAGAATAATCATTGTGCACATCCTCAATTATCTATCTACCCTATTTATATAGAAGTGCTAGTTAATGGAGTTTTTCCATTAGCAGAAATCTGAATAATGTGAAGGTTTTCTGGACTTAAAAATACATATATATGGCCAAACTGTCACAAGTTCAATAGAATAACCTATTGCATTTACAAATAGAGAGATGTCATCAACATAACGAGAGTTGGTGGGGTTATGGGAGGACCAGGAAGATGTATTTGGTTGTGAACTAGATAGAAAATTTTGTTGTGTTTATATACAAACAGAAACATGGCAAAACCCTAACCACAGAAAATCAAAATACTTTTTAAGGAGCGACTTTCATTCTTAACATATATAGTTAGAAAGCTTATCTAAATGATACAGCCTTTTTCTTTCCCTTAAACTTCACCAGCGACAGAGTTTTACTGATTTACAAACATATTTAAGTTCCCCTACTCATTATAATGAATATTTCTCTATTGCAAAATTTGACAGCGTTGTTATGAAGAGCTACCTCTTCTGGACTTTTTCCATGGATTCATGAAGCATAGCAACACTCAAGGCATCTGAGAACCCTTGTAGTTTTAAAACAAACAAACAAACAAACAAGCAAACAAACAAAAACTGTTTCTCAAGTATATTTGACCATTTCATTTTGGAGACTATATATCAACATTTGAGGACTATATACCCACATTTCACTAGCACTCTTGGGTATAGACAATATGGAATGGAAACCAAGAATTTAAAAGTTCTTTCCATTTAGAAATGAATGATAAGGCTGTTCAAATTTTCATCTAAAGAAAAAAAGGAGGGCACATATTGCATGGAGCACAGGGTGTGGTGCATAAACAATGAATTTTGTAATACTGAAAAGATATTTAAAAAAATTTAGAAAAGCAGGAGAGATTGCTAAATTGTGAGCTATTAAAGTATTCTTGAAATTTTACTAATTTTTTTCATCAGTATCTAATCCTGGTAAAGTGGGTTTTAGCCATCAAAGAACATAGAAATCTATCCCTTCCATTCAGTACAATTAAATTCTGTGAGGCTTTAATATTCACATCCCTGATAGAATATTAATTTTTTGAAAACTCAAAATGATAATGTATGCAAATTTCTCCACTGTCAATCAGGCTCCAATCAATTACTTACACATACATGCACACACAAACACACATCTTAGCCTACTCAACAATAAGTAAATGCTAGAGAAGTGTAGGAAAATACAATACTTTTAGATTTCTGAAGTATTTTGGATAAATTTATCAAGTCTATCTATACTACTCATGTTAATTACTGTTTAATCTCCAAATAACCACATACATTTTGCATGGTTACAAAAAAGCATTTGCAATGGGAAAATGTTTGCATCCACTATGGTTCCCAGAGAAGTCTTTAATCAGTAAGAGGTTACTTTATACCGTACCCTAAATTTTATGGGGTGAGGAGGGATAGATTTTTCTCTGTATCCATCATATTCATAAAAGTAAAATGAGAAAGAGGAGAATTTCAAAATCCAACCTGTGACTTCACTGGGAAACTGAATTTAGCCCATTTTAACATATGGTTAAAATAAGGGGGGAAAAGATTCATGTTCTTAAAAATAAATGGCAACTTTACCTACAATTCCCTTATACTGAAACTGAGCTTCTAGGCATATAATGTGGGCAACTTCCTCAACCCTTACCCCTCACCCCCATAGGTACCCCTTACAAAAGACTTCTTCCAGGCTTTCTGATCATAGTCCTTCCAGCACTACAAAGGTGGGCACTAATAAATTGTACTTAGAGTCAAAATTAGAACTATTCATTTTGATATACAAGCATATCACAAGAAATCACATAAAAAGCTTTTATCCTGAGGCACAAAAAATACATTAAGTAGATGTGTGGTAATAATATCAACAAATAGGTTAATTCTAATAACCCAATAATTCTAATTATAGCTCTAAAAATAATCAATGTGTAATGCTTCAGGATATGCATTTCTTTTCACAATTACCTCTTCTTTGAGCACACATTAGTTTGTCAGCAGTGTCAATTTCTGAACTATTAAGGTGAATGTCATCTTATTTCAATTAGTGAAGAAAAAAAAGATGCATCTCCTGAAAGTAACGTTTTGTATTTGGGTCAACACCACGGGGTTGGGAATCTACTATCAATGTCCTTTTGGTATTTTCTCTTAAGAGTTATAAACAAACAAACAAACAATGAAAGCAATAATGAAAAGTTCTGGTCTTTATGGAAAGTAAGTGGGTATCTTCATGCATATTAATAATGACAGGAGCACGTGGATACTTACTGCTGCGTCTGCATCAGTGGCATGTTCGTGCTCTCATAACTGTCCGTGTGCAGAGGCGGTATGATCTCCCCAGTTACAGGGTGAAACACAGGGAGCGTTGACAGGGGCCATGCTATCTCTCTATTCTTGGACATGTCACGAAGTTCTTTGGTAGATTTCTGAATAGCACTATGATGGACCAGCTGGATGCTAGATCGAAAAGAAATAAAACACACGCATATTTAAAATCCAATATTAGCCCCATGGGTCATCAAATTTGAAAACGTTATGAATTTTTTTCTTTTTAAAATAAGATATTATTGCACTTTGGGCATTCTAAAGGTTATCTCTGAAAGGGATACATTTCACATGCTTTTAACACAGCAAAAACTGAACATTGTAAACCAATGTTTTAAATAATGTCTTGCATAAAACTAAGCTATAAAGCATTGTGTTAATATTATAGCCCTAAGTAACAAACTAGTACACTATTTAATGTCTAGGATTAAGATTAAACTACCATAGCTTTTATATAGTTCTTCTGATGGGGCATTTATCAATACTCACAGAAGTTTCATTTTATGGTAGGTTATTACTGTAGATTCAGGAAAACGTGTATGAAAGGCCTTTTCATCTGTTCTCTGGTTTATAGAAATGCAGATTGGGAAATCACATCATATAAATGGCAAGTTAATATTCTGAATCTGAAGTTTTAGGTTTAATTTTTATCTACATAATCTTAGTTTTCAAACCCTTTTTATTTTTAGTCTCTACCCATCCTAGATATCTCTATTTAGAAAGCAGCTTTCACATTTATGAAATAAACTATGAAAGATGACGAATGACAAAATCAAAGCATGACACATGTATGGAGCACGAGGAGCAACTGAGAAGTGAAAAAACATGATAAAGAAAATAACAGGAAAGAAGACACTTACTCTGGTGTTTGCATGTTTCTCTTTTCCCTAGAAACAAAACAAAATTTATGAATTAAATAATAGCATTGATATTTGGAACATTAAGACTATATGCTCATGGGATCTTGCATGATGTGGAAACGCTGACATTGTTACCATTAAATGCATCCAGGCAGCATTTGCCACCAGGTTTATGACATTATTTGGATGAGTACACATACAGAGATGGAATACTGATGAGAAACACACAGAAAAATGGAAAAAAATGGAGATTAAGCATCAAGCTCTTGGAAATAAATTCTATGACATAATGAAATCAGGCTACATGTAAAAAAATGGAAGAATCTGTTACTTGCTGCTTTATTAATTTTTTATCCTTTCACTTTGTTGCCCTGATTTCCAGATAATTTGGGGAGATTATTTTAATTGACACAGATGTCCTGAAAGTGCTAACTAATCATGAAATGAACACTCCTTCCTCCAATTATGCTCTTTTTTTCACTAATTTACTCCTAGGTTTATATGTATACATACGTATCTTTTAAACATTTAGATTATGTCACCCGTTTGATAAGGATTTCAAAGAGAATTCTGACCATCACTTCTGATCAAACTAAGACAATTTATCTACTTAAAGTGCAATTACCATGTCTATAGACTCCATAGTCTCTGCACAAAATGGCTTATATAACCAAAAGAGCTAGCCTCAGTTATTCTTGGGACTGTTTTGCCAGCATGAATTTATATCTAGCCTTAATAATTGTTGAATAAGGTAATTATATCCCCTAATTTGATTTACTAGACTCGAAACTATTTTAATTCATTTTAAAAGAATAAAAAGTGTTGTAGTTTGACTTGAACACAATTTCAATTAATTTATAAAGTGTTTTATGAACCAAATGAAACTTGGCTTTTAATGGAATCTTCTATGTTGTTATCCAGTAGGTTCAGTAATCTTTTATTAGTGTTTTAAAGTACTCACACTCCTTCCCGTCGGCAGCACATGATATAAGCAAGTATTAGAAAAAGGACCAGTGCTACCGCCGAGGGCACAGCCAGTGTAATTAGGAAATCCGTGTAATAGTCTCTGCTTTTCAAAGAATCAGAAGGGGGTTTGTACTCTCCACCATCAGGTAAGATCCCCTCTCCTCGAATCACTTCCTGATAGGTGGACACTTGCTTTGTTTTATCGACCTGATATAAAAGAAGACAATTACACATCGAATTAATAACTATAAACATGACAAGAGCGGAAGACCCAGATAGATCCAAACTTTCTTTGACACATTTCTAAAGAGCCCTCTTTTCCAACTGCATTATCATCTTGAACTTGCCATTGTCTACGGGAGCTAGGAAGAAGTCATGAACAAAAGTAACATTAAAGGGCTTGTGTTGGCCCACTTTCTGGGCCCTTTCCACAACAGACAGACATATGTACATGAATCCACACATAATACATGTATGTGTGTATGTGGCTGTTCTTTCCAGTTTCCTTCCTTCAAAGCAGAAGTCCTTAATTCTACCGTGTACATTTCTTGTTTCCTACGGTAAACTTCTAGAAAAGATGCTAACAAGCCATGAACTGGCAGACAACCAGGTGTGCAGGTATGGTTTCTAAGGTTAGTGAAAGACGAAAGAAAAATAAAATGAGAGACAATTTTTAAATGATTACAAACTTGATCTTTCTTTCTGCTGTTGAGCTGACAGAAGTGATGTGGGGAAAGGATAGCCCAAGGAACACATAACTCAGCCAATACTATAGTTTCATTAAATTCTAACCCAGAATCAAAAAAATGCACATTGGCACTATATTAATTTACCTCCACGTTCATTGAACTGTTTTACTGAGTTGTACTTAATTATGTTGCGGTTTTTATTGAAGGACACTGTAAAAATGTCCATGTGAAATTTGTCACTCCATTTGCCCCCCCGAACACCCTCCCCCCAAAATATGTTGGGGAGAATGATTCATGGCATTTCTCAGTATCCTTCCAAAAAATACCCACTTGAAAAATTTTGTCAAGAGTACAGTGCTAGTGAACCTTCATTTTCTGTGAAGGAATCAATGCTGACTCTTTTAAGAAGGAGAACTAAGTAACTGATGAATTCCCTCTTTTAATCCTGGACACAGGAAGCTTATTGTCAAACTTGACCTTAGGCTTATTTTTTAAATAAAGTTCAGGTCCCAATCATCCATTTCTTTTCTATTTTATTATGTTTATTGCTTCACTATTCTAGTTACACCTCCTGATATCTTCTATGGTAAGATTTGACACATAAATAAATACATGTAAAATAAAAAATGAAAATCCCAGTACTCTTCCCATTTATAAAATCTCACCATAGAAACTAAAAGCTTCAAAGCATGTCATTTTTAAAACTTCAGAAATTAGGTCATATTCCTAAACATAAACAATTTATAGCACGAACACAAGTAAAATGGTGTTTTTAGGGCCGGCTGTCTGCTGACTCCCGTTACAGGTACCTACTCAAGTTATGACTACAGTCACTCAGTCTTTGGCATCCTTGTATGATTAGGACGATGATAGGAAGAGTAAGTTTTGCAAACTCAGCATTTATCTATAATACACGTAAACCACAGCAGCTCAATATTTGTCTTGATTTAAGAAGACAAAGAAAGAAAATTATTTTCCTAAGACACAGTCACATCAAAAGAGGAGTCTAGGGCCAAGGGCCACAGGTGCATGTGTTACAAGATGAATACTATGTTCTCCTGTCCTGGGAGATCTGGGAAAGTTGCCTGCAGTTGGTTCTCCAAGCCACGAAGTGACAGTTGTGTTTATGTGTCAATAACTTTGTTTAAATGTCAACTTTAAACTTAGATCTAATTCACTCACCACCAATCATCAAGAGTTGACAGAAGTTAAATCTAAAGGTCACTAAAGAAGTAAAACAACTTACCAATCTTCCAGAAAGCAAAATCAAAAAATAATATAAATTTTATATGAAATATTATATATATATATCAAGTGTATATGAAACCTTACCTACATTTTCTTAAGTTTTTTAGCATCCTAGTTAAAAAGTAATTTAAAAAGAGATATTTAATATTTATGGGGCTGTGGGTAAGAGTCTAATTTTGTTCACTTGGAGTTTTTTGTTATTCCTTGACCTTGCCCTATTATTTGCATTTTTAGGACAGAAACTCATAGCACACTTGCTTATTTTCAGATGTATTATGGTACCCCAGTCTCTCCTTCCAAGTGGGTAATGGCAGCATATTTGAGACTTTCTTCATACATCACATGGACTCCATACTCTATCCTGGCTTAGCAACCACCTGGATATCCAAGGGGGTCATTTGGACCACCTGCCAAACTAATGCAGCCCCCAAAACTAATCAAGGGTAGACTGAGGACAAAAGTGGAGATACACTTTCCTAAATGGATGCACTGTCAACAAGCTTGCCAAATTCTTAAAGCCAAGGGAAGTCCATTGCGTTAACAAAGTAAACCCAGGATTTGTTCCTAAAAGCAATTCAGCTTTTAGTCAAATGTTAACTCCAGCCCCATCACTTCCAATTACATTTGCAAAAACAAAATAAAAACTCACCAATGAGATTTTGCACCAGTCGATGTAAAACTGAGTACGAAACTTTTTATCACATGTTATCACAGGCTCCATTTCTTGACTGCATCTCAATTGATTCTGTGGATTTTCAACTTCTCGTAAACAAGAAGAAAACGGTACATCGGCACCAACCATGACATAAACGCTGCAAAAATGTGAAACTCTCAGGTTATCCTTTGAGAAAATTGGAAACACTGAAAAACAATCTACCCTGAAAGCAGGATTTATCCTTTTGAATTGAGGGATTATCTAGAATCATCCCTAAGGTAGGGACCTGGGCTTTAAAAGCAGTGATTCATGTAGGAGCTGCCTTTCAGTCTTTCCTTTATTCAACCAATATTTACTGAGTGCTTTCTCTCGATTCTAGGTTAATTTCTAACAAAAAATTTTTTTCATCCTATTTACTTTAATTCAAAGTAAGCATGTGTCTGCCATATTGTGATTACTATGTTTTGTAGATGACTTTCCTTTAAAGATTACCCTTAAAGTAAATTATTTAGAAATAACACTATGACTAAAGCAATAAGTAATTGTAAGTAATGAATTTCACTTGATTTCATTTTAATAAGATGGGAAATTACATCTCCGGAGCTTTAGGCATTTAGCTGTTTTGCCCAAGAGTTCTATCAGCTTTTCTACTGCACAAACCCCTACTGTTAGGTCTCCTACTACAAGGTCTCTCACTCTTTTATCTAAGAAGTCAATCTAAGAGAAAAACTATTATTTGGTAAGCACAAATTAGGCAAGCAAAATTTATTTTCTTGGTGTGCATCTTAGTGATTAAGGGGAAAGAACTCTACTTAATTAGTCAGGAAGAGTTTCACACACACAAAAAAAGAAGTTAGTGATAATAGTATTGAAATAATCTTGAAGCAGCTTGAGAAAAGAGAATCTCATAGGTCTTTCAAAAGAAGAGAGAAAACCTGGAAATTACTCTAAATAAATGTTTCTTTTCCTAGTGACAATACTACAGCTACTTATGAAATAAATCCATCAAAATACCAGCTGTCTTCTTTGCATAAACTGACAAGCTGATCCTAAAATATATATGGAAATTCAAGGAACCTAAAATAACCACAAAAAACTCTTGAAAACGACAAAGTTGGAAGACTCACAATTACTGATTTTAAAACTTACTACAAAGCAACAATAATCAGAACAATCAGCAATAGTAACCCAGCCTAAGGATAGACAAGTAGATCAACAGAATAAAATTCAAAGTCCAGGAATAAACTCTTACATGTAGTAAATTGATTTTTGTCACAAGTGCCAAGATAATTCAATGGAGGAAAGGACAGTCTTTAGAACAAATGGTCCTGACACAATAGGGTATCCACATGCAAAAGAATAAAGCTGGGCCCCTACCCCATACCATAGGAGAAAATTAACTCAAAATAGATGAGTGACTTAAATGTAAGAGCTAAAACTGTTAAACTCTGAGGAAAAAAGGTATACATTTTCATGACCTTGAAATAGGCAGTAGTTTCTTAACTATGATACCAAAAGTTTCAGCAATAATAGAAAAAACTCGATGAGCTGGACTTTACCTAAATTAAAAATAGTGTGCTCCAAAAGTCACCATCAAGAAAGTGAAAAGGTAACCCATGAAATAAGAGAAATATTTGCAAATCATACATCTAATAAGGAAATTGCATCTACAGTACGTAAGGGACTCTTACAACTCAATAACAAAAAGACAATCCAGTTTAAAAATGTCAAGGGCCCTGAATAGACATTTCTCCAAAGAATTACACCAAGGTCCAATAAGTGTGTGAAAATATGTCCAACACCCTCAGCCCTCAGCAAAAGAGAAATCAAAACCACAATCAAAACTACTGTTTCACATCCATTAGGACGGCTACAAGAAAAAACACAGATAATAAGAAGCGCTGGAGAGGATGTGGAGAGACTGGAACTCTCCTCCTCTGCTGGTGGCAATGTCAAATGGTGCCTCTGCTTTGGAGAACAGTCTGGAAGTTCCTCAAACGGTTGAATACAGAGTTACCATATGAACCAGCAACTTCACTCCTAAGTATGTACTTTAAGAGAAATGAAAATAGATGTCTATATGAAGACTTGTACGTGAGTGGTCATAGCAACGGTATTCACAGTAGTCAGAAAGTGGACACCATCTACATGCTCACTGATGAGCGAATAAGAGGTGGAACCTCCATACAACCAAATACCATAAAAACAATGAAGTACTGATATGTGCTACAAGAGGGGTGAACCCTGAAAACAATACTGTGGATAAGTGAAAGAAGTCAGTCACAAAAGACACATATGGTCTGATTCCATTCATATGAAATGTCCACAGCAAGCAAATTTATAAGGATAACAAGTAAACAGTAGTTGCCTAGGGCTGGGGGGGTTGGGGAGGGGAATGGTGGTGGTGGTAAGTGGCTGCCAATGGGTATAGGATGGAGGAGTCGGGATGATATAAATATTCTAAAATTGACTATGATAATGACTGCACAACTTTGTGAACAAGCTAAAATCCATTGAGTTACATACTTTAAATAGGTGAATTGTATAGCATATGAATTACATCTCAATAAATCTGTTATTTTTAAAACTGATAGTAAGTCAAAGTGTATCACAAAAATTCAAAGCTATGTCAATGTAAGTATGAACCTACACCTTGAGTTGACAACTGTGTCCCAGAGTTTGACTACACAAATTCATTTGGTTGTTCTTTATGTCAAATTTATATTTTAACTTGAGATTCACTGAAGGAACTTTTTTTTTTCAAAAACTATGGTGCCTTCAGTAGATAAATAGTATATAATGGGCTAAAGCTAAAGAGGAAAATAAAAATAAAAAATTCAGAACAAAAGTATATATGAGAAACCACTGGTAAGGTATTTAGATGATCCGTGAATATAAATATATTCCATTTAAAACAAGTTCTTAAAGATTTTTATTTATTTATTTGACAGAGAGAGATCACAAGCAGGCAGAGAGAGAGGAAGGGAAACAGGCTCCCTGCTGAGCAGAGAGCCCAATGCAGGGCTCGATCCCAGGACCCTGGGATCATGACCTGAGCCGAAGGCAGAGGCTTAAACCACTGAGCCACCCAGGTGCCCCTAAAACAAGTTCTTAATTGTAAGCTTCACATAAAGTCAAATTCTATTCCCTTATTAACTGCCTAGCCAAGACCATATATCTCCTTAATAATTGTGACATTATACTTATAAATACAGAAATAAAATGAGTATTTTTACAACTGTTAACTTGCTTTAACATGACATTGATTTGCATTTACAATTAGTAAGATTTTAAATTAATTCACTTCAAGATAACATAAATGGGCTGGAGTTGTTTTTTTTTTAAGTATTTTATTTATTTATTTGACAGAGATCACAAGTAGGCAGAGAGGCAGGCAGAGAGAGAGGAGGAAGCAGGCTCCCTGCTGAACAGAGCGCCTGATGCAGGACTCGATCCCAGGACACTGGGATCATGACCTGAGCCGAAGGCAGAGGCTTTAACCCACTGAGCCACCCAGGCACCCTGGGCTAGAGTTTTGATGCTTTGAAATGTTTTATTTTTTTCCTCAAATTAGGAAAGCAATATAAAAATATTATATAAAACCTAGGATATAAAAACAGAATTAATTTATATTACTAAGATAACTATCTTCATTTTCCAATGTACCTTGCAAAATGTTTTTCAAATGTATATATTCTAACCTAATTGCAATCATCTCCAAAATACAATTTTGTACCCTGCTTTTTTCCCTTAATGTATCATAAGCATTTTCCATATTGTACAGTCTTTGTAATTATAGATTTATGGCAATGTAATTTTTTAAGTGCACACGATTTATTCACAACTACTTCAGGGTCGGACATGTAAGTTGCTTCCAATTTTTTTTATGTTATAAATAATATTGCAAAGACTATCTCTGTGCAATTCTTTAATGTTACTCTCTTAAAAGAGATGCCTAGAAGTAGAAACATTTTTATGACAGTTGACACATACTGCCAAATTACTTTCATCTCTCCTTGGATGATCCATAGGCTTCACAAACTTAATATGTTCCGAACTGAGCTCATCGTCACCCCACCCCACCTTCACCTGTTCCTCCTTTTCCATCTTCTCTCCCGATGACTGGCATGGCCAGATGCTCAAGCACCATCATATTTGACTCCTGTCCTTCTTTCCACATATTCAATCTATCATCAGTCTCTGACATTTACCCCAAAAGAACTCTCCCATGCACCTGTCCACTTTGTTCCATCTCCCTTACACCCTAGTTCTGATCACCATTGCTTTCCACACGGCATGAAGCAACAGCCCCTTAAGGGTTCTCCTTGAACCCTTTCTTTCTCACCATCCTCAGGGAGCCTATTTGAAGAATAAATGAATGAATAAAAAGCATTAAATCAGTTTTAAATTTTTTTTATTTTTTTAATGATTTTTTAATTTTTTTTTTTAAGATTTTATTTATTGTTTGTCAGAGAGAGAGAGAAAGGGAGAGAGAGATCACAAGTAGGCCGAGAGACAGGCAGAGGCAGAGGGAGAAGCAGGTTCCCTGCCAAGCAAGGAGCCCGATACGGGACTCCATCCCAGGACGCTGGGATCATGACCTGAGCCAAAGGCAGCCACTTAACCAACTGAGCCACCCAGGCGTCCCTTAAATCAGTTTTAAAACACAGGTCACTGTATATTTGAAAGTTGCTCAGAGAGTAGATCTTAGCTCTCATCACAAGAAAAAAATTGTAACTACATGAGGTGATGGATGTTAACCGAACTTATTATGGTAATCGTTTTGCAATATATACATACGTCAGATCGCCACTTATTATGGTAATCGTTTTGCGATATACACATACGTCAGATCATTATGTTGTACAACTTAAACTTGTACGATGCCATATGTCAATTATGTCTCCAGAATACTGGGAAAATCTGTAAGTTAATATATAAAATGCAAACAGACTACAAATGCCATGCTTGAGAGAAGGAGATATTAGATTTGCCTTGCAGGCTCAAAAAAAAAAAAAAAAAAGTGTATTTATTGTTTCTTTTGTAGAGCCAGAAAGTTTCAACAAGATGGCTTTTAAAAAAAATGTTGTATGTGGCTGTGAATAATAACCTAACGCGATGCACACTAAAATCACATTTTTCATAATCTGTTCTCCT